AAAAGTCTGACTAAAGTAGCTAATCCCGGGGTGTCAACAAGTTTTACTGCGTCACGATGGATTGAAGGTTTTTTAGGAGCTTGAATTTGAGGTGCAGTTAATGTTCTTGATCGTACTGCGTTTGTATACCTGCGGCTAGCTCTTTCTCGTAGCGCGTTAGCTTCGGCAACTATTGCTGGTGGCAATGACGCTAGAACCATCTCGTCTTGTTCAAGAAGAACTGTTTGTCGTAATTGTGGATCCAACGAAGCGAAGAAACTTGCAGTGTCCATTTCAGCAGCAGCGGGTTCCGAAGTTCGATGACGAATAATTCTTTCTTGTTCAAGTGCTTCTTCTTGTTGAATAATTTCTTCTCTGAGGTCATCTGGAAGAGCTGCAAGAAATTCGGTACTAATAGCATCACCAGCTCCACTAGTAACCGGAGGCCTATTACGTCTTTCTGGTGGCAAATGTTGATTAAGTACTTCCTCTCGAAGCTCGTCAGGTAATGCTTCAAGGAAGGTTGGGTCAATACCGGTGTCGGTAATATCCACAGGACGACCATTAACCATAACTGTAGTTCTTGTTGATTGGCCTTCACTTGAACCTTCAACTGTATCTCCAGCTGCCCCTTGAGGTTGACTGTTATCTGGAACAAGTGAAGGTCCTTCTTCCATATTAAGATCTGTTGTAACGGGAGCTGGTTCATCTTCCATCTCTACAGATTCCCCTGCCCGTTCTTGCTCTTGTTCGACTATTGGCGCATCTTCTTGCATGGGATCAATAAGTTCAATTACTTCAGTAACTTCAGTAACTTCAACTATTTCGTCATTATTTGTTATTGTATCAGACATTGATTGTTCGGCTACGGTTTCTGGTTGAGGAACTGCTGCTGCAGCTGCTGCTTCAGCTTCTGCACGAAGTCTCAACTCTTCTTGTTCTTTTCTCCGTCGTTCAGCTTCCTCTTCAGCTTTTATTCTTTCCTCTTCTTCACGTTGCCTCCTTTCTTCTCTTTCCCTTTCTTCTCTCTCTTTTCTCTTTTTTTCTTCTTCCAATGCATATGGAACCAGTGCATTATAAACATGGTTAACAAGTTTTGTGGCTTTTTCGCCTACTGAACTACCATACATCATGCGTGCTTCATCGTACCATCGTTGCCCAGTTGAATGAGGCTTAAATTCCTGAACTGCAGTAATGGGATCACTTGGTGGTGTCATATTTTGATTTTCTTGTCCACTAGATATTGTTCTAGGAAAAACACGATCAACTTCAATGCCACTCACTAACCCTGATGATCCAGTATTTAATTCAAGTCTATATGTAGATGAATGTCCTAAACCTCGACTTCTAGTTAACAATTGCTCTAATAATTGAACCGCTCCACCACCGATTAATTCCTCAATTGATTGTGTCCAATCACCCAAAGGCCCATTTCTAGCACTACGTCCTCTAGTAAGTTCAACGCTAGCAACGGAAGGAACGGTTGGAGATCGATTAACAAGTAAAGGATGAGTGGTAATGTCATCATTAGCATCGGGTAATGTTCTGTTATTGCGCCACAATCCGGAATTGTCCACATCATCATTTGTTCCAAAATTAAAACCATAACCCACAGGATCACCAATAACATAGTCAAGACCTTCGGGTGGAACTTCTAGAATAGTTCGACGACCAGGTATGTGCCGATGACGTCTGTTGCCAAAGCTGAACAAAGCACGACCTGTTCTATTTGGTATACCAAATTCGTCATCATTCATGAAATGTGTTCCGGGTTGATTCCAAGCCCAATTAAAGTTTAAGCGATCATAACCATCATCAATTACATCTCCACTATCTAATACTACATCGTTTTCTTCGACGTCGTCGGCTTCGTCGTCATCATCTTCCTCTTCATCATCATCATCTTCATCGTCATCTTCGTCTAACATAATGTCTCTATCTGCGCCATCATCATTGCCGCTAAAACGGTCATGTCGACGGTGTCTATGAAGCTGTCCTTCCGCATCAATAATTTCTTCGACAATATCACCACGTTCTATCATAACTTGATCGTGAACATCCCACATTTCTTGGTCATCATTACCTCTAACATGGTGTCCTTCATCATCACTATCATCCTCATTCTCTAAATGCTGATTTACTCCATGCTCAATTTCAGAGTCATGATCATCATTCCCTTCATTATCTAATACGACGGAATGACCATGGATTGGTTGTCTAACTACTATTTCTACGTCCATGTCGTCACCATTATCATCATCGCCCTCATCTAAATCGTCATCATTGCTAACATCACTAAGATCACTACCAGTTCCTTCATCGAATTCACCATCATCGTATCTTTGTTCGTCAACTGACGAGTCTAAACTATCATCATCCATTTCATCACTATCCAATCTGCCTTCTAGTGCACCAAGTACAGAAGTTGCATATAAATCAGGTGCGTCCTCAGTTTCTGGGTTCATTTCATCGGCTGATGGTGTAGATATGGAAGAAATACTATCATGACGTTGTTGCTCTTTGTTAGGGGCTTCAGGGGATCGACCCAGTTTAATAGCAACTTTTGTAAGGCATTCAAAAGGTTTTAATAAAGCATTGATCAAGATTCTTGCTGAAGGGTAATTGAGGTCAACTTCTGCAAGTGCATCAGTTAAAGTATTTACAAAGTTTTTATCCAGCATTAGTTTAGCGATACTAGCGGGACCATCTTCAATTGGTTTGTTAGCAGTAGTGTTAGGACCAGTACGTGAATTTAATATAGCATAGCATAATTCTGCCAAAGCCAAGAGCCTTCCGTATTTTGTTTCAATAGGATCTGATGAAGAAATTGCAGTCCTAAATGATTTAATTATACACTCCAAAACGAATTTTCGCACTTGTATGATTTCCGGCTGTGGTTTCTTATCATCGACTTCACTACTAATGTTAGAACATAGCGCTACAAGTGCAGATGTTGTCCATTTGGATTGTCCATAACGCTTTCGCATTTCAATATTAGTAGATGGTGTTATACAACCGTATGGCAACAACTCATTCAGGAGATAGTACAGTAACGAAGTTTTTGACTTCGATTGAGTGCCAGATCCCATACTATTTCTGCGGCGTGAAAGATTTACAACTTCAATTTTACATGAAGGATATGATGATAAAAGTTCGGTTAAGCATTGAAGTAAAAAGCATCGATACAAATAATCTAAATGTTCTTCAGGCTTGAATGCAGATTGGGGAGTACTTGTGCTATTTGTAGAGGTAGAAGTTGTTGCTGCAGAATTAACGTTTTCATTTCGATCATTTGAATTAGTCTCAGGCACCTTTGTGTCTAAAGTTTGATTGTTTTGTAGACGTGTTGCGACCAGTTCGTTTGCAATAAATTGAACGATGTTTTCAGCTGTTTCTGAACCAAATGAAAATTTTTTGGGAGATCCAAGTGAAACAGATGTCGATGGTACCGGTAATGCATCTGTCATCTCTTCTTCGTTAGTGATCGAATCTTTAGTCGTGGAGGTGCTAGTGTCTTCAGTCTCTGGTTTAATCAATGTGATTTGTTGACTACGTCCGCTAGAATCATATCTTGCTAACTTGCAGAGCTTTTTAGTGGATTTAACAAATATTTCAGGCGCCCTCAAAGCAAATTGTGCGTTATTTCGTAAATACGCACTGATATCGCTACCACGTGGGCGTGGATTGGCAAACCAATTTTTTATTTCTTTATCGATAATTGATTCTAAAACTGAATCATCCTCAAGGGCGTGTCGTAATATCATGACAATGAATATCTGTTGTCCACGGAAATCATGGGCCCTCGACTTGAATGCATTGAAAAGTAAATTGAGACCATCTTTGTTTACAAACTCGATGGCATCTGAATAACGACGAGTAAGACGAACGACTATCCTAAGCAATGCATTTATAATGTCTTTGTCCAAATCTTTTCTCTTCAATAATGATAAGCAATATTCAAGGAGCTGAGTTCGCGATTCAGTTTTAATGAAATTCAAACCGTTCAAAGAAGCATTAATGTCTTTTGATTCATCAGGTTTTGTACCTAATTCAGTGCCAACTGGTTCTTCAGATAAAGAAATAAACGCCTCAATAACTAATAAAGCAGGCGCAATCCATTTAGGCAAAGGACTCTCTAAAGGTAATCCAGCTTGTTCAGAAACCATAGACGTCATATCAGAAAATATATTAAAAGGTAAATTAGGAATTTTTCCTTGTATACTATTCTCATTTAATAAAAGAGCTAAAAGACGTAAACGAGAATTAAGTGCCTTTTTGCGTTGTTCTTCTGGATGACCACTAACTGCTTCAATGCTTTTTATTATTAATTCAATGTTCTGTTCGGCATTGTCTTTGCTAAGAAGTACAAACAAGTCTTTCACTTCAAAAATAATGTCCTCAACTGCATCAAGAAGTTCAAGTGCACGAGATGCTGATGTGGATCTCAGCTCATCTCTCTGAGTTTTAAATTTATCTATATAATCAACCTCTTTTCCTTTACCTTTGTCGGGTTTTGTTGATGTTGTTTCAGTTTCCATAGGAATTGAACCCTCGCTCGTCGTTGCACCTTCGACAGGAGTTTGATTTCCTTGCATTGATAAAGCAAGCGCTTGAACTAAATCATTAGAACTATCATCTTCATTATCAGACACGTCATCATCGTCGTCATCATCATCTCCAGATGTACCAGTAACGTCAATTGTGGATCCCGCATCAGTGGGTGCATTACCTCTTGTTGAGGTTGTATCAGACAGATTTCGGCCTGTATCAGTAGATGGTGCCGATGAGAAAACTGTCGCAGCAATAGTTTGAGGATGCGTAAGCAAATAGTCTGTAGCAGCTTGAACATGATTATTGCAGCGTATAAGTGCAGTTTCGGCTGATGAACGCGGGAAACCCATATCAATCAATTGTTGAACTCGGTCTTCGTCTGGTACCAAAGATCTAGTAGCACCAAATAGTGTAGAAGTAGGTGCCGATAATCCACTTGATGATCCTGATCCCTCGGGGCGTTGATTAACCTCCCCATCTCCTTTTAAAATCTGAACTAAATTTTGAAGAACAGATCGAACAATATTGGGAGGGGCTTTTGGAAGATAGGTACTTTGCCAAAGTTCATTTATTACAGGAAGAATTTTTGCTCGAACGTTCACGAGAAAATTGAAGGGATCGAAGGGTTCATTACGCGGATCTCTGTCTTTAGTGGTCAATGGTACTGTTTGAGCTGACTCATGTAACAACTTTGATGACCCAACAAATTGGAAAAAGTTAAGTGTAACATCAATGCATCCGTGAATTCGTGAAAGCTTTTCTTTAGACTTTTCATCAACTTCAATTGTCGAATATTCTTCAAAGGCTTTAATTTCCTCAGCCTCACTCCAAAACTGGCGTAAAAGTGTGAACACCTCCTCTAAACCCTTAACACGATCAAATGAAACAACAAGCATTGTTTGAAGTGAAACTTGACTCCGTTCTAAAAGGAGAGAAAAAATGTTTCATTTATACGGATAAAAAAAAACAATAACAATAAATATGCCATCAACTTACCATCCAGGAAAAGTAACGACAATAATCCGAGCATTATCGTAAGGTAATTGTATTTATTTGTAGAATCAGTTTCGCTATCAAGCCCTGTATCAAACGAAAAAATAAGTAAAATATATACAAAAAAAAAAGAATCCAAGATAAACATATAGTACCGTATCGAGGCCAAGTTAAATGATCTCGGAGAACTTCTGCAATAGCATCTGAAATTTTGAAAGCCTGCTTTTTTTGGGAAGCATCAGGAGACTTTCGACTAAACAGCATTTTTGCTAAACCTAAATACAAGTCAATAAAATTTATTTAAAATAAATTTTTAAAGTAATTGGCGAATATTACTATTGAATACATCATTATTAATATACCTTGGAATAGAGGTGTAAGGCAAGAAGGAATTTGGGAAACCAAAAACTTTAGGCATTTGGCATTTTTTACTTTACGATTATTTTGGTCAACGGGTGGCTCATTTGAATCTGTAGTTTCTTTATCCGCATCATCCAATAACGCAGATGT